TCCATATACCATGTACAACTTTGAAATTATAACTTTACCTTTATCTAGTACCTTCTTGCCTTGTAACTCCTGACCAGGCTAGGTCATATGGTAGGAGTTTGCCCACCTCCCTCCCCTGAAAACCTGTAAGAGTCAGAAACCCCCTTTGTCCTCAGTAATTCAGACTCTTTTGGGAGCCCATCATGTTATACGTGGTGGCTATCTCTCCTAATGTTCTTTCACGTCAGGTCTCCATCATGGCTACCCATCACCATGAGGCTCTCTCCTAATAAAGTTCCTCTGAAGGGTAATTTTGCATCAGTTTTTTTCTGTGAATTTGCAGTAATTAATAACACCAACCGCACTTTGCACGTAAGGACAGAGGACCAGAGAAGTGACTTTATTCATGTCACAGCCTGGGTGCAAGCAGGTTTCCTGACCGGCTCCTCAGTTCTTTCAAAGCAGATGTCAGTGGGAGAGTAGTTGCAGAAGGAACTCTGGTCTGTCAGATTTGCTACAGTACAATCCCCAAAGCTCAGCGCTAGTAACAAGTCTTGTTTAAGTGGTAAGTGTTTGAGTTGTGTATTAGCTGCAGCTGTGGTTTGGTGCGGCTCTGTGAGTTTTCTCAACCTTCAGTCCAGAGTGAAAGCAAAGCAAGGACAAGACTAGCTCCTGTGATACCTGAAAGGACTATATAGTCACAAGTGCAACTTATGCCAGAGATGACATACATTGTGACTGCTCATACTCCACTGACCAGAACAAGTGACATGGCCAAGACTGACATCAGTGGGTTGGGTGGTATTAGTAAAAGGTTCTAAAGGAACAGAACTAATAGACTAAATATATATACTAAGGAGGGATTTATTAGATTGGCTTACAGGATATGGTACAGGCAGTCCAACGATGACTGTTTCATACTAGAAAGGCCAAGAATCCAATAGTTGCTCAGTCCTTGAGACTGGATGTCTCAGCAGACCCAGCAGTGCAGAAGGCCTGGAGGATTCTTGGAGAGTTGCTGGTCTTCAGTCTGCTTTGGAAGCCTGAAGAAGCTAGTTCTAGCATCAGTGAAGGAACGCAGTAGCAGCAGGATACACAAACTTGCCAGCAAGAGTAAAGGCTATCAGGCAAAAAGCAAAGCTTCCTTCTTCCCTGTCCTTTGATCTGGGCTGCCACCAGAGGATGCCACCCACATTCAGGGTGCATCTTCCTGCTTCAAATAACCTAATCAAGAAGGTCCCTTATAGCCAACTGGTTAAGTTGACAACCAAGACTAGCAATCACAGGAGTTTATTATCCTCCCATAAGGAAGATGGACTGGGAGGCAGAAAATGAATATTTGCATAGTATATTTGACCATCAACCACGCAGCTGTGCAGCCAGATGCCTGGGTCTGATCTGTGCCTCCATCATTTGGCCCTGCCATCAGCATCATGGTCCTCTACCCTCTACCCTGGCTTCCTCATCTGTAAGGTGAGGTCATAGCTAGAGTCCTGCATTCCTTTGCTGTGGGGCATCCATAGCAGAATGCCATCAGCAGCTCTAGAGGGCTTACAGGACAGGAATGTATTACCTCATGTTCTGGAGGCTGGAAGTCCAAGGTCAGGGTGTTGGTAATGGTCCTGGTGAGGGTATCTCTCAGCTTGCAGACAGCCCCCTCTGACTGCTTGCTTCCTCACAGCCTCCCTTCTCTGTGTAGGGGATGATGATGTACAACTTTTTTTTCTTCTCTTAATTCATTGGTTTACACCATGACCCCATTTAAACTTACTACCTTCTGGAAGGTTCCAACTCTGAGTGCAGTCACTGGGGCAAAAGGTATCATACTGTGGGTGTGAGAAGGGCTGCAGTTCCATGTATTGCAGGGACTTCTTTCATGAGTGTTGCAATGATTTAGATGTGTTAGATGCTCAGAACAGCGTTGGGTTTACAGAAAATGACTCAGCAAAAGCTAAGTGCTGTCATGGCGTCAGTCATAGTGCAGTGATGAGGCCAGTTGTATTCATCTTTATCCTCAGGTGCCCACCCAGTTCTTGGACATGTGAGGTGCTCAGCAAAGAGGTGTTTTTGACTCCGAACACTGTGAAGTTGCTGGAGCCCTGGTCCATGCCCCGCAGTGCTGCTCACCTGTTTTGTGACATTGAATGCATCACTGTCTCGTGCCAACCAGGACATCAGATTTTGTGTTCTCATGGCCTCTTTTGCCTAGGCTAGGGAAGCTGGGTAGCGGTCAGCCAAAGTCAGATCATGGCCTTTTCACCAAAGTGTTCTTATGAACTCCACAGTGGCTGCACCACTTTGACAAAGCACTATGACTGAACGAGCAAGAGGGAGGGGTGGACACCTTGTTGTGTCTGGGGCAGTAGCAGGGTCTTGCCTGGAAGCCTCAGTGTGTTCTTAGACTTGTATCATCAGCCGGGCCACCCTTAGGATTCTGTGTCAGCATTGGAATCCTCCACTCTCTCACCTGTGCTGAACTTGTGTCTTCTGGTCACAATGTGACCTTGCTCAGGAGGGACATGTTTGAGAGTGTTTAACACTCTCTTTAGCACAGACCTCCAGCAGCCAAGAAGGAGAGATGAAAGGACATCAATACAGTGGCCTTGCCAAGCATTCTGCCTGATGTGACCCAGCTTAGCAGTGCTGGGAGAACACCGTGTGGAAGTTCTTGGCCTCCCCTAGCTCACTGTTATTAACTAGCAGAATGATGAGTGATGCAATCAGCATCCTCAACAGAGAAGGGATGGTGGCAGTGATGGTGGTTATGATGGTGATGGTTGTAATGATGGCTGTGGTGGGAGAAGGGATTGTAAAGAACACACTCATGAAATGTGCAACATCTGGCCTAGTGTAGGTGGCAGTGATGGTGGTTATGATGGTGATGGTTGTAATGATGGCTGTGGTGAGTACAGGCATGATGATGATGATGGTAATGGTGAAGATGGTGATGGTTGTAATGATGGCTGTGGTGAGTACAGGCATGATGATGATGATGGTAATGATGAAGATGGTGATGGTTGTAATGATGGCTGTGGCGAGTACAGGCATGATGATGATGATGGTAATGATGAAGATGGTGATGATGGTAATGATGAAGATGGAAGAATAGTGATGATGGTAGTAATGAAGGAAATGGTTGTGGTGATGGTGATGAAGAATAGTGATGATGGTAGTAATGAAGGAATGGTTGTGGTGATGGTGATGAAGAATAGTGATGATGGTAGTAATGAAGGAAATGGTTGTGGTGATGGTGATGAAGAATAGTGATGATGGTAGTAATGAAGGAAATGGTTGTGGTGATGGTGATGAAGATGAAGGTGATGATAGTGATGTGGGTCATTGTTCTGACAATGATGATGAGGTTGGGGGACCAGCCTTTAGAGAACATTTACAGTGTACTGTCTTAAGCACTCTATCTCGACCCCGTGAACCATCCCAGCAACACTAGGAGATAGACACTATTATAATCTTTATATGGATGAGGAAACTGAAGTGCAGTGACATACAGTTACTCGATGAGGCTGTGTAGCCACTGAGTCACAGAACCCAGTGCCCAGGTCATCTGATTCCACAGCCAGTGCCCCTGAGCACACATGTAACATGAACAGCCCAGCTCCAGGTCTTCCATTATTGATGACAGTCCTCAGCTTACTCAGGTTCAAGACTACAGGAACATTTGCGTGAGGGAAGAGAAGAGAAAGGCCTGGCCTCTCAGAAAGCTCTCCTCTTCCCGGAAGGAGGAACAGCCTCAGGCAGAAGCAGGTGTTCATATCCCCTGATGTTCAGTGGTATCCCCAGCCCTCTCAGAACTTAAACAAGCTCAGGCCTCCCTAATTCTCAAATCTGCCTTCTCTCTCTCTCTCTACAAAGTGACCAGCTAACCATTTCCTGCCCTAAAGAAGAAAGTTCCAGAGTCAGAGCTTCTTCCTGCCCATACCCCAGTGTGATCTGTGACCATTAGGTTTGGGCTGGAGTCACATTCACCTGAAGCAGCCTCCACACTGCCTCTGTGTAATTCCCACTGCTACAGGGAAATGACAGGTACCCAGAGAGTCTGCCTGTGAGTCTGATTCTCACTTCCTCGAAGTTTACAGATACCCTAAGCGATTGGGGACTGCAGGTGGCACATCTCACATGAGGGCCACACATGAACTCAAGGGCAGGAGCTTTGCCCTCCCCTGATACCTGGGAATCAGACAAACTGCAAAAATGAACTATGGGTCATTTATCAACCCCATGGCAGGGGACAACCCCCAAAGTCTGTAAGAGAGGACCCCCAACTCTTCCTCCCCGCGATGTTTTCTGTGGTGTTCCCTTCCCTAGCAAATCTTTTACCCCAAAGGATAACCTGCCTGTATGTCCCCCTTGTACCGCAGTTCTGAGACTCTTAAAGTGGCCTGCTTCAGGTCAGAGGGGTCATGGCCTTTGACTTGAGACCCGTGCTGTAGCCTTGGCTCTGTGGGCATGGTTCCTGTAGCGTAGCTTATACTCTCCCTGCTGCCTCCTCCCTGTGAGGCTGTGACTGTACTGAGGTTGGGGTGTGTGCTGTGGCTCAACCCGGATGTGGTGGGCCCCAGGAAAAGGGCATTCCCTGTTCCACTTCTGTGTCTGCTGCCTCTAGCTATATCCATCCTCCAGGACTGGCTCCAGGCTGGAGCCCTGCCTGCCAGCCCCCACCCCTCTCCCACCCTGAGTCTTCAAAGGCACTTCAATCTCTGAGGCAGGTGCTGCACATTCAGAATTTGGAAACCTGGAAGTGACCTTAGAAAGCCTGTCTCCAGAGCTTTGCTGCTCTGGTGTGTGACGGGAAGTACTACTATAAGGTCTACTCACTATGCCCTGTGCTCTTTAGGGTCCTGCATGTTCTCCCCACATCCTGGGCAGCTAATGGGACTGTCACTGCACTTCAGAAGTTCGTATCTACTCTATGTGGCTGAGCTGGGCAAATTGCAGCATCTCTCTCCTTAGTTCTAAAGGACCTCTCCTGGTGATGACTCTGAGCATTTATTCCTATTTTTCAGATGAAGAGACTGAGACTCAGAGTAGAGGTTAAGGAACTCCACTGAAGTCTCGTAGCAGGTAAGCATTCTCTCTGACTGTGCTCTGAGTTGCTTTACTTCTTTGCCTGAGACAGTGTTGAACTGAGTGTCCCCTCTACCAACAGCTGTGCTATGACTTTTTTGATCTGATGACTTCATGCAGATCTTTGGGCTTAGAGAAAAGAGCTCTGGGACAGAGAACTGAGAAGCGGCTGGTATATGCTTAGAACACCCCAAGCAGCAGTTGCCTGGGTTGAGGAATGAGTCCCAGGTGGCTAACAGGAGTGTGTTCACCTCCAAACAATATCCTCTGAGGATCTGGCTCTCTAGGAAGCAGAGTGCTGAGCCCATAGTGGGGCCAGGTGCCTCCTCGTGGTTGTTTGTGTCACATCCTGCCCCAGCCACAGAGGTGCCCACAGGCACGTCTCTCCCTCACCACAGCCTTGGGTAGTTGGACAGTTATACAACTTGGTTGGGGAATATTTTTGGTTGTTTTGCTTTTGCAAAACCAGAGGCAGTCTGGTGGTGAGCACGCACTCCCTCCTTCCCTCCGTCAGACTGCTGATCTGCTGTCAGGGTCAATGAGAAAAGATAAACTCCAGACTTAAGTTCAATAGTCCACTTGCTCCAGGTGGACACTGACATCTGACCAGCCTCTCCTCCCCATAAGGTCTCAGCAGTTGAAATGACTGAGCCCTCACACTGCTCATGATGCCCAGGGCAGAAAGAACCTGGTTCCTGGGCTTTGAGTGCTCTGCTGTGTCACAAGCCACTGTGCTCAACTGGGGGCCGTAGATAAGGCAGAGAGGTAAGCTTCCAGCCCTCCAGGCCCACAGGGGACCAGCAGATAAACAAGTGACCTGATCCACAGTGCAGTGTCCTTTCATGATTAAGGTAGGAGGGAAAATTGGACAAAGCCAAGGGATTGACAGTGAGGTGGCCAGGCGGGGGCTTTGAACAGAATTACAAATACACTAAGGGTCTGGGGAGTTGGCTAGTAAGTAAAGGGCCTACCTAGCAAGTACGAAGACCCTGAGTTCGATGCGTGCGCGTGCGTGCGCGCGCGCGCGCGCACACACACACACACACACACACACACTGAAGACCCTGAGTTCGATGCGTGCGCGTGCGCGCGCACACACACACACACACACACACACACACACTTTAAAAAGCTGGGCATGGTGGCTTGTAACCTCAGTATCAGGGAAGCAAAGACAGGCAGATCCTGGGGCTCACTGGCCAGCCAGCATAGCCTAACTGGTGAACCCCAGGTCCCAGGGAAAGACCCTGTCTCAAAAATAAGGTAGACAGCTCCTACCAAAAATAATATCTATCATTGACCTCTGGCCATCACATGTGCCTCTGTACACACTTGTGCACCTTCATGGACACAAAATAACAGACAAACAAAATACAATGAAAGAACAACACTTACAGATTCTGGGGTAAGAAGATTGCTGTGTAGACAGCGTATGTGCAAAGGCCCAAGGCAGTGAAAATGCTCAGTACTCCATTGTACTCTTTGAGCTTGATTTTCTGTGTCGCCCTCCCCACCCTCCCACCAACACAGCCTCCATCCTTTCTTACTTTCCTCTGTCTGTCATCGCCAAATGCCTGTAGAGGTGTGCTAGGGGGCAGGAGTTGTGGGGCAAGAAAAATCAGACAGTTGACTGGGGGCATAATAAAGGTGTCTCTCTAACATGAAGCTCTTTGCAGCCAATCCTCCTTCTGCACTGCGCTCGTTGGTGAAATTTGAAATTGTTGTTTGCATTTATTCTCAAAATGCATTTTAGAACTAGGACTGTGAGCACTTGGCACTGTGCAGTCATTATTTCAGGCCCATCTTTCCAAGTGTAGTGGGTGGAGACTCCACTCGGAAAGCAAGGCTGGGCTGCTGTGTGGTGCTGGCCTCGGGCAGGGAGGCCCAGCAGGCAGAGCCTGGGGCCGGAGTGGGTGCAGAAGCTGCTGGCAGGTGAGGCTTCTTTCCAGGTCTGCTCCTCCATCACATGGTAGTATAAGCACCTGCTGTGCGGTTCCTAAGGCTGGTTGGAAGGGACATGCTCAGGGAGTACTCAGGTACCCCAAGTCCCAGCCTCGATGTGACCACAGCCTGACTGGTCTGTTTCCCTCTGTGAGACTCAGATGCTGGTGCAGAAAGGCTGTGGTGTGAGAGCGTTCCTCTGTGATCCTGAAATGTGGCAAGGCTTGCCTCCCAGACAGGCAGCAGCAGGCACGGGGACTGAAGCTCCTGGCAGCATCCCTTTGGTCGCCAGGCATCTGACTCTTAGCAGAGAGATGCCCTGTGATGTGTAAGGCCCTGTGCTCCAGCCTCTGGCTCCAGGCTGGAGCTTTTGGCCAGGTTTTCCTGACACACCAGAGCCTGGAGCTGGAGAGGCTGAAACTCATTTCCTGCAGCAGCTGAATAGCTAGCTCTCTTTCCTGGGGTCCACAAGGACTTATTAAGTCTTCCATGAACTGAATCTTATTCAGCTGGAAAAAGAGCCAGGAGAAAGTCATTCTTCCTAACCCCAGCCTGGGAGCTTATACGCCGTCTCATAAGGAATGAATCAAAATTTCAGTCCTGTGGGATGTGGCTCAGCCCTGCTACTCCCTCCCCGAGGAGCGGCCATTAGCCATATCAGCATGTCCACCTCTGTGAGCATCACTGGATCATCCTCTGTCCATCTATCTGCTATGAAATCGACCCATGGGGGCCAAGGACCCAGTACAGGACTCCAGTATAGACTCAGGCACTGTGTGTGTTCTCCTTGACAGCTCCGGTTCAAACTCCAGAGAGTTCCCAGCTAACTCCTTCTTGCAGTCTCTGAAATGTAAATATGTAGAAACTGCCCCCACCTCTATCTTGTGTGTTTCCCCAATATTTGCCCTCAAATCATGAGCTTGCCGTGGTCCATGCTGCTGTCTTTGTGTCCTTCCATCAAGTCGGCTTTGCTTCCGGTGTCTTCCATCCAATAACTCAAGTCTCCTAAGGACCCTGAGAGGCTGGAGACCTGGAAGTCCCCAGGAAGGTGGTGCTGAGATGTGAGGTGTTCCATTTGGGAGGCGCTCTGTCACCAAGGTGTCACTCAGAGTGATTGATTTTATCAATAAAATACTTGAATGTGCAGAGAGCAGAATACTGGTTGTACACTTGTGTGGGATTTGATTCTTATTTATGACTGAGTGCGCTACCCTATTCCTGCTTCCTGGGAGCTTCAGAGAATGTGGGTCTCCTGGTTGTACTCCCCTAAGTTCTGAGGGGCAGGCGGAGGCCTAGAGCAAGAACTGCACAAGCAGTGGGTTGCAGTGTAGGGCAGGAACCTCAACGGTGGGGCTCTGCCAATTTGCCGCATAGGCCAGGGTCAGGCGTAGAGTCATCTAACCTGGCCTTGTGGGTATCCCAGCATGATCCAGGGCAGCACAAGAATGGGAAGGAAAATCTCCCAGCAGTAGGCTGGCATTGGAAAAAACAAGACTTGAACCAGTAACTAGGTGTGAAATTAGGTGAATAAGCATCATCGCTAGGTAGATCTCAGCCTTAACTTCCTTGTCTGCAAAATGTGGATAGTGCCTGCTGTCCTGGTGGTTGCCAAAGACATGCCTGGTCACTTTTCTAGGAACACAGAGGGAACATAGAAAGTCAGAGAAAGGGAGGGAGAAAGCGAGAGGGAAGTTAGCTGTAGGTCTACCCCTTCAACTACATACACCCACTTCCATGATGTCCTGGTCCACAGCGAGGTCTGGGATACAGGCGGGGAAGATGCCAAGGTGCAGGGACAGTTTCTCCGAGGAGGTGGCATTTGACTCAGCATCCTGGTTTGAATGTGGAAGAACCCCTGGGCACGACAGCCAGCCTATGCCTGGTCTCTGGGCCCGTTGGCTTGAGGAGTCCCACGGGAGCTGCTGTGGCTCCAGAGAACAGGACAAACAAAGAAGGTGGAGTCCGACACTAGGAAGGCCAGCTCGGATGGGAGCTTCCTTCCCCATCTTTTCTTTGTTTACTGCTTGTCTTCCTGATGACAAAAATGCGTTTTCCCAGGGCAAGGCATCTTTCTTTCACACGCTACTAATCCTAATATGTAACACTGCAGAGTACATGGTAGAGTTTCAGCAGATATGTTAATGATGATAAAACTAATACCCTCATATGAATTTAAGGTATGTTAAAGCATGTGGTTTTAAATTTTTAAAAATAAAGCTAGAAAGCCAGGCATGGTGGCACACGCCTTTAATCCCAGCACTCGGGGGGCAGAGGCAGGCAGATCTCTGTGAGTTCAAAGCCAGCCTGGTCTACATAGTGAGTTCCAGGAGAGCTGGGGCTGCAGGGAGACTCTGTCTTAAAAATACACACACACACACACACACACACACAAAGTATAAATGACCAATGAATACATGAAAAAATGCTCAAGATCTTTAGCCATAAAGGAAATACATTTCAAAACTACAATGAGATTGCGTTTCATCCTGGTCATAATGGCTATCATCAAGAAAACAAGTAACAAAATGCCAGGCATGGCGATGCACACCTATAATCCCAGCACTTGGGAGGTGACATGCCTCCCCCAACCCCCACCAAACCCTATGCACTCTGCCATACATGCTGAGTGCTATTCATTCATGTTCTTGTACCTAAGTGTCCTTCAGTGTAAGTGTGTCCACTGGAGTCTAGTCAGCCCATCCAGTGGTCGTATGTAAGTCATACTCTCCCTCACCCAGCAGCAATCAGCCTCAAATAGTTCTCAATGTAGTGCTGACCCACCACCTATTTCTCATCTCCCATTTGGGCCCTTGTTTAATTGAGTTGACCTGGGTCCCACGTTCAACACCACCATTACCACAGGCTCACATGAGCAAGCCTCCAGTGGCCTGGAGGCCTCCACCTCCCCGAGTTCATGAACCAAACCTGGCTCTTACAATCATTATGCCTCCTCTTTTGCAATGGCCCTGAGGTGTGGGTGGGTGAGGTTCCATATAGGAGTCCCATCCTACACTCTACAGTCTCTCCAAAACTTGGCCAGTTGTGGCCTTCTGTGT